ATGCTCAGTAAATATTGCCAGTTTATCATCACTGTAATCATCACTTTCCTTTTAAAGTATTTATTTCCGTGTATAACAAATGTAGCTCACTGTAGAAATGTTGGAAATCCAGGAAAAGAAATAGGAAAATAAATTCCTCTCCTTTTACCGCGTGAAGTAGGTCACTTTTAAATTTTGCACATATCCTTTCAGATTTTTTACACAAGCGCATACTTACAAAATTAAAATTTATATGGTTATATTATGTTGTAATGATTACACTACAGCATTAAATATTCTTCAAAAATTACTTAAATGATTGCATGTTTTCTTAAATGCATCCTTTTTATTCATTTTCATTTTATTGAATTTATTGGAATGACATTGGTTAATAAAATTACATAAGTTTCAAGTGTACAATTCTATAATACAGCATCTGTATATTGTACTGTGTGTTTACCACTCAAAGTCAAGTTTCCTTTCATCACTATTCAGCTCCCCTTTACCCTCTTCTACCTCCACCCAACCCCGTTTCCGTCTGGTAATCACCATACTGCCCTCTGTGTCTATGAGGTTTTCTGCATTTTTATAATTGAATCATTTAATTATTTATCCATTGATAGTCATTTTCTTTTTTTTTATGTATTTATTTTTATCCTCACCTGAGAACATTTTTTCATTGTTTTTTATTTATTTCTTTTTAAATTTTATTGCATTTTTTTGCATTATCATTTAACTCCCTTATACCCTCCTCTCCCCCCGCCACAGTCACCACACTGTTGTCCATGTCCATGAGTCGTTTTTCCTTTTTGTTCGATCCCTCCACCCATAGCCTCCCCACCATAGCTGTCATCCTGATCTCTGAGTCTGTCTCTATTTTGCTCGTTAGTTCTGTTATATTCAGTAAGTTCAAGGTATGACTTTCAATGGTCGCCACTGAACAAAGTTACATGTATAATCATTGCCTCCATCTCTTCTACCAGAATAGGTTCTTGTGTCAAAACGTATGAACTTTAAAGGATCCTCACACAATTGTACCAAAGTGATTTTCAGAGAAATTATATTAATTTGCACTGTAAACAAAATAAGATATTGCTTAGTATACCACCCATTACTAGCACAGAATATTATTCAGCATTTCAAACTTGATAAATTGAGTTTCAATTTTACAATTTTATTACTAGCAAAATAGAGTAATTTTTATATGCTTACTGGCCATTGCAACTTTTGATGAAATAAATCTTTGTGTTTTCTTTTTTTCTTTTGGGGAGATCATGTCTTTACAAAAGTTATTTATATGATTCATTATATATTAGATAGACAAATATTTTTTATTATTTGTTGCCATTACTGTAAATATCTTCCCCAGTTTGTCATTTACCTTTCCATTTTGTTTATGGCTTGTTTTATGTTGTAAATATTTTTAATAATATTCAATAATGTTCTTCAAAAAAAGAGCACTGCATTTTCCCTGTGGACAATATAAAAATATGTAAAATGGAAAGAAGAAATCTAAAACACTTGGAATTGCACCCCTAAGATATTAACAAAGAAATATAACTGAAAGCTTTATATGTGTGTGTATATGTATAATACACATATAAATTTTCATTTTAAAATAAATGCCTTACATTAAACATACTATTTTGTGGCCTACTTGGTCAACTTAGCAGAACTTATTGAATATTTTTCATGCCATTTGATATTTTTATATTTTTTAAACTACTTCATAGCATTTCATGGTATAGGTATAGCACAATTTATTTCACTGATCTGTTATTTTTATATTTTTGTTGTGCTTTATTGTTTATTTCTTTCAATTACACTATTAGAAATAAAGCTGAGAGCAGCATTCGGACAGATAAAATATGGACATAATCTAAAACTGAATATATGAAATTGCTAGTTCAAAGTGTCTCTCGATACATACTGTGAAATCCACTTTTTGTTTGGAACTACACTGCATGGATATTTATCTTCTCTCATTTTTACCCAAATTAAATATTATCATATTTAAAATTTTTAAATAAAAATTAATCTCCTTTTTAAATTGTGTTTGATTTCTTATAACTTTGAACTTTTTTCTTTCTTTTGACATTTGATTTCTAATGATGTGAATTCAATGATTATAGATTTATCTAATTTTTTGTTGGGTAATCTGTAACACTTTTTTAAAAACTGTATTGTTTACATTATTACAGACGTCCCCATTTCCTCCGAGTTTGCCTACCTCCTCCTACCCTCACTCACCCCTCCCCTCTGGCCATCACCACATTGTTGTCTGTGTCTATGAGTTATGCATATATGTTCTATGGCTAATTTCTTCACTTTCTTTCATCCAATCCTCCATTACCCCCACCTCTGACAGCTGTCAGTTTGTTCCATATATCCATGCCTCTGTTTCTATTTTGTTCTTCAGTTTATTTTGTTCATTAGACTCCACATACAAGTGAGATCATATGGTATTTGTCTTTCACTGCCTGGCTTATTTCACTTAGCATAATAATCCCCATGTCCATCCTTGCTGTCACAAAAGGTGTAAGTTTCTTCTTTATTATGGACTGGTGCATACATTAACAGGAATTCAACAGACAGTTCTGGGGCAACTTGAGGAAAAAAACAAATGTTACATTCTCACCTTAAACAATGCAACAAAAATATATATTATGATTTAAATGTGAATATTAAGCTCTAGTTTAATTTGAGGTAAATATAAATTAATATTCACTTTAGCTTTTTGAAGGTCTTTCTCAGTATATATTCCAAAACATAATTCATAAAAAATTTATTGATTTGAACATAAAAGTTAAATAAATATGAACATTAAAAGCTTTACATAGAAATTAAAAGGTAATTTCAAAGTAATCTGTAACACTCTCTTAACATCTTGTAAATATTGTCTCTATTTGTATTTCTTAATCCCTTCACCTTTTTACCCCTCTTCTCAATCCTCTTCCCATCTGGCAACTGTCAAAATATTCTATCTATAAAGTCTGTTTCTGTTCTGCTTGTTCATTGATTTTGTATTTTAGATTTAATTGTGGACGTATATGTATTTATTGCTATTTTCTTATTTACATATTTTATCTTTTTTTTCTTCTTTTTAAAGAAGGCCCTTTAACATTTCATGTAATACTGGTTTGGCGATGATGAACTCCTATATCTTTTTTCTTGCCTGGGAAGCTCTTTATATGTTCTTCAGTTTTAAATGATAGCTTTGCTGGGTAGAGAAATCTTGGTTTCCATCACTTTGATATTTCTTGCCAATCCTCTCTAGCCCATAGAGCTTCTGTTGAGACATCAACAGCCTTATGGGAGCTGCCTTGTAGGTAACTAACTGATTTTCTCTTGCTGCATTTATGATTCTCTCTGTCTTTAAATTTGCATTTTAATTGTGATGTTGTCTTGATGTGAGCCTCTTTGGGTTCATCTTATTTGGGACCTCTGCTCTTTCTGGACTTGTATGTCTATTTCCTTCACCAGGTTAGGAAAGATTTCTGTCATTATTTTTTCAAATATGTTTTCAATTTTTTGTTCTCCCTTCTCCTTCTGGCGTCCCATGATGTTAAACATTGGCATGCTTAAAGTTGCCCCAGAGGCTCCTTATATTATCTTCATTTTTGTCATTCTTTTTTCTTTTTGCTGTTCTAATAGGGTGGTTTGATTCTCTGCTTCATATACTCTGCTGTTAATTCCCTGTAAATTATTCTTCATTTCATTTAATGTATCCTTCATTTCTGAATGGTTTTTTTTTTATGGTTTTCATGTCCTTTTTCATGTTTTTTGAAGTTCTCACTAAGTTTATTTAGTCTTCCCCTAATATTATTGAGCATCTTTGTAAGTAGTGTTTTGAACTCTGTATTTAGTAAATTGCTTGTCTCCATTTTGCTTCATTCTTTTTCTGGAGTTTTGTTCTGTTCTTTCATTTGGGACACGTTTCTTTGTCTCCTCATTTTGGGAGCCCCTCTGTGTTTGTTTCTGTGTATTAGGTAGAGCTGCTACATCTCCTGGGCTTGGTATAGTGGCCTAATATAGTAGGTGTCCTGTACGGTTCAGTGGCACAGCCTCCCATTTGCCTAAGCTGGGCACTCTAGATGAATATCTGCTATGTGTGGGCTGTGTACACCCTCTTGTTGTAGTTGACCATTGATTGCTGTTGGCACATCTGTGGGAGGAATTTACCCTCAGGTCAATCAGCTGCAAGAACTGGCTGTGACCACCATGAAGGATCAGCTGTGTAGGTCTTATTTCAGTGGAGCTCTGGTGCCTGCTGAGTCTACCCCATGAGTGTGTCACTTGATGAGCTCTGAAGCTGTCCACCAGGTGTGCTGGCTCTTGCCCTTCTGGGAGGTCCAGGCCAAGGTCAGCTGCCACCTTTGTTCTGCCCAGAGCCACCTGGCATGAGCTACAAATTAATCTGCAGATGGCTGCTACTTGTTCTGTGATTGAAGGTGCCCCAGAGAGGCTAAACTTTGAATAAAGCTGGTTTCCACTAGTGCCAAACATGTGGCCACTTAGTGAGAGCTAGGGGCATGCTTGTTTGAGAAACTTTAGGAAAGTCTGAAGCGTGATCCAAAATAGGCCCACAGGCTGTTCATATGGAAATGCCAGTAGAAACAGCTTAGGTGAGTGCCCAAGTTGAGTGGAGCAGGGTCTTAGGGAGTCACAGGGCAGGGAAAATATTGATAACCAGGTTAATGGAGACTCCTCTATGGTGCTAGCCTGCTGGCTTTTTGGGGGGAGAGCTCAGAAAAAGAACAATGGCCTCTGCCTGAACTTCTCTCTGAGAGAAAACTGCCACTCCAGCTCTTACCCTGCTGCCAGACAATTCAGTTCCTCCTCATGTGCCCCTGGTTCCTTCTGAGCTGCTGTCCCAGTGCTGGAACTCAGAGGAAGGGAGTCCATAAGTCTGTGTGCAGGTTCTTTAAGAGGAACACTTGGAACTTCAGAAGCCCTCTATCTCACTCGGCCACAATCCCCACTGATTTTCATAGCCAGAGATTACGGGTACTTCTCTTCCTGGTCTGGGGCGCCTGGTGTGGGGCCAGGACTCTACACCCCTCATGAGGCACCTCTGCCGCCAAGATACCCATCTCAATTTTTATCCACCACATGTGAGTGTAGGACTAGCCTGTTCTGCATGTCTAGCCCTCCTACCAGTCTCAGTGTGGCTTTTTTACAATCTTGGTAATAGGACTTCCATTCAGCTAGATTTCAGGTGGTTCTGTAGTTTAGTTGTAATTTTGATGTGGTTGTTGGGGGATGCAAATACTGCATTTACCTATGTTGCCATCTTAACTGGAAGCCTAGAATTAAATTTTATTTGGACTTTTTGCATCTATACTCACAAGTAAAATTAATCCATGGGGATTTTTACATGTGTTATATTTTCAGTTCTGGAAAAAATATGTTCCTCTCATAATTACAAACTATAAATAATTGAATTGACATTTTTAAATTAATATTTGCATGATGTCCTTTTTCAAATTTTCCTTTAAAACTATTTATGCAATTATGTTTTCTGTGAGTTTCTTATAAACAAAATAAAGTTGGGTCCTATTTTTGACACACTTTGTCAATCTCTGTCCTTTAAATGTATATTTAAAAAGTCATGTCTTTCTTTAACTCAGAGATATTTATTCTTCCCTTGCTACTTCTCTAAATACTGTCCTTTCCTTTCTCTTGTTATATCATTCTAGAATTTCTGTTAGATTTATTTTATTTCTGTTATTGTACTTCACTATTCTCCTCATTATTTTTATATTTTTATAATTTTTTCAGTAATTTTCATATAATTTCTCAAGCTTCCATTCTGACTTACTAATCCAGTTATTTTTTTACATTTTTAACAATATGTCCCACAGCATTTTAATTCAATAATCATGATCCCTCACCACATCAGGTGGCTTTTTTGACCCATAGACTGTCAGTTTCATGACTACTTATTCAGTATCATATAGGGCTTTGCCACGAGTACATATTGAAAACAATTCAATGTCTCTATAATTTCTTCCAGGCTCTTTTTTTTTTCTTTTCTTTTTTCACTTCTTTTTTTCTTTTCTTTCTTTCTTTCTTTTTCTTTTCTTTCTTTTTTCTTTTTCTTTTTTTTCTTTTTTTTGAGAAGGGGAACAGCTACTCTTATGCCTTGTATTCATTAATCTGAGCTGTTATGTCTCAACACTCCCTTACCTTTCTCTATTTACTTACTCTGAAAGACACAGAGCTGCCTTGTGTTGCACTGACAGCAGGAGAGTTTCTAATTGAGATTATGTTCGCTGCATCATTGATCCTTTTAATATTATTTTTTAAAACTTGTATTTGGTTTTCTGAAGTTAGGCTCAAACCTTTAGATATGCTTAATTTAATATTTAGTGCTTCAAAAAAATCTTAAATCAGTTTGATCATTTTTTATTGTAAGAATGATTCTATTTTCCTGTGTGAATATTTTAGAGTTTTAATATAATCTTGAAATTTAAATTGTTTACCACAACCTGCTTAATATGTAGCCTCTTTTCATTATCTATCCTCTCTACTGCTTGAAAAAGGATTGTAAATGAAAACAGAACTGAAGGATCTTAAACTCTGAGATGGGGTGAGCACACCCCCGGTCTTCTTTATCCCAGGCATTCAGCTTTGACCCCTCCCTAACCCCACTCTATTCCATCCACTTTCATAACAATGCCGTAGCGATCTTCCCATATGATGTATATGACAATGTCACTCCCCTGCTTCAAGTGTTCATGTGGCTCTCTCTCTCTGTAAAATAAGATCCAAATGCCTTTGCACAGAATAAAATTCTATTGATATAACACACCCAAAACATTGACTGCATACTTGTTTCTCTTTTACTTTGTGTCAGTTCTGATTTTTACTATTTCTAATAATGTTTTTATTCTTGTTATTAAACTTTTTATTTTCTTGTAATAGTTCCTAACCCTATCTAATTCCTTTTTCATTTATTCCAGTCTCTCAGTTGATATCATTTTCTTTTTCTCATAATTTCTTCATTAGAATTCAATATTACAAATTACCATGATAACAGAAAAAGAAGAACATCTTGGTAGTCAGTTGTATGTTAGAAACAAATAATACAAAATTGATATCCAGTTCATTCTCAGGAACTTTCTGAACACTTTTACAATTTCATTTAGATATAACTGATATCATATAGATGATAATATATATCATATAGAATATCATATTTACAAATATATGATATATAACTATATATATTTAAGGTACACAGCATAATGGTTTGACTTACATATATGGTGAAATGATCACCACAGTAGGATTAGTTAAAATCTACCATCTCATATGTAGATAACAATAAAAAGAAAGAAAAAAATTCCCCTTGTGATGAGAACTCTTAGGATCTACTCCCTTAACAATTTTCCTATATATCATATAGCAGTATAAACTATAGTCATCATGTTATACGTTACATTCCTATTACTTATTTATCCTATAACTTGAAGTTTGTACATTTTGACCACCTTCTTCCAATTCCCCTGTCCCTTAGCTGCCACATTTGATAACAGCAAATCTGATCTTTAGTCTTTGAATCTTGTTTGGTTTTGTTTAGTTTTCACATACAAGTGAGATTATGCAGTATCTGTCTTTCTCTGACTTATTTCATTTAGCATAATGCCTTCATTCTTCATTCATGTTGTTTCAAATGGCAGGATTTCCTTGTTTTTATAGCTGAATAATATTTCATAGCATATACGACAACTTCTTTATTCATTCATTTATCAATGAATGCTTAAGTTGTGTCCACTTCCTGAGCATCTCACTGTTAATGATGTCGATTCTCTTGGTTCTTTTTTTCTCTGTCTTCACTGTGATATAACAGAAATTGCAGTTCTAATTCTCTTAAGCATTAATGAGTTAGTCTTCAGATTAAGGCAGAACAGCCTGATGAAGGATGACTCAATAGAAATCAGAGGACTTTGGAATCCAATAGATGTGGTTTGAATTCAGATCTGCTACTTTATATACTATTTCTTAACTTCTCTGGGATCAGTTTCCTTACCTATTAAATACATTTATATGAGGACTAAGCACATGCATATGTTAACTGTCCTCAATACATGCTAGCCCCTCTTTACCTCTCAAATTCTAGCCAGGCAAGAAGGATTCGTGAAGAGCAGAAAAGTTATTAGATGCATTTTATGAATTATAATTATAAATATACTTATTAAATTTTGATAAATTCACATGTATGTGTTTAATGAAATCATGGATATTGGTTTTGATTCTCCAAAGTTTAGGTGTTCTCAGGAATATCACTGTCTCCTGAAAAAGCCCTTCAGTGTTCCCTTCAGAGACTCACGCTTCTCATTTGGCATGACCTTCCTGTATATGTCAATGTGCAAATAGGGAGATATTAATTCCCCCAAGAACCTAAGCCAGGCCCATCTCAGAGTTTAAGCTCTAGCCATTTTTCTTTGTGTCTTTATTCTTAGCCAATGAAAGGCTCTTCTTCTTCTAACTGAGACCCTGACCTTGTCTCTTTCCCTGATACTAATGAGGAATCTGAATGAAAAATCTGGAATCTGACTTTTCTAATCAAGAATCTCTCTCCACGACCCCAGCTGGGGATTCATTCCTATCATTATGGTTGGAGGAAACTGGACAAGAGTAACTGAGTTTATTCTCATGAGTTTCTCTTCCCTGCCTACTGAAATACAGTTGTTACTCTTCTTGACATTTCTAATCATCTACCTGGCCACTCTCATAGGAAACAGCCTCATCATTCTGGTTACCTTGGCTGACCCCATGCTGCACAGTCCCATGTACTTCTTCCTCAGGAACTTGTCCTTCTTGGAAATTGGCTTCAACCTAGTCGTTGTGCCCAAGATGCTGGGAACACTGCTTGCCCGGGATACAACCATCTCTTTCTCTGGGTGTGCCACACAGATGTATTTCTTGTTTTTCTTTGGGGTTGCTGAGTGCTTCCTCCTGGCCACCATGGCATATGACCGCTATGTAGCCATCTGCACTCCCTTGCACTACCCAGTCATCATGAACCAAAAGAAACGTGCCAAACTGGCTGTTGTCTCTTGGTTTCCAGGCTTTCCAGTAGCTACTGTGCAGACTACGTGGCTCTTCAGCTTTCCATTCTGTGACACCAACAAGGTGAACCACTTCTTCTGTGACAGTCCACCTGTGCTGAGGTTGGTCTGTGCAGACACAACACTATTTGAGGTCTATGCAATAATCGGAACCATTCTGGTCATCATGATACCCTGCTTACTGATTCTGTGTTCCTATTTTCACATTGCTGCTGCAGTCCTCAAGATTCCATCAGCTAAAGGGAAGCAAAAAGCCTTTTCTACCTGTTCCTCCCACCTTCTTGTTGTCTCCATTTTCTATATATCTTTAAGCCTCACCTACTTCCGGCCTAAGTCCAATAATTCTCCTGAGAGCAAGAAGCTGCTATCATTGTCCTACACTATTGTGACTCCCATGTTGAACCCCATCATCTACAGCTTGAGAAATAAGGAAGTGAAGAATGCCCTCAGCAGGACCTTCCACAAAGCCCTAGGTCTAAGACACTACATCTCATAGATATTAAGGGATACAACTGAAGTTTATGGAATGGGGATTCCTCTCTGTCTCTCTTTATATCTCTGTTGGAATGAAATCCAGCTGTCAAAATGACTGTTAGAGAGTTCAGTAGACAGAAAACAGCACAGAGGTATATTAGATCTATCAGTACCACCTGGGAAACTCCTCTGCCTGCCCCTTGTAGACTTACATTCTTTTTCTTATTGATACTTCAACACTTCTGTGGCCAAATAATACCAGATATTCACATTCCTGTGTCTATCTTGTGAACAATATGAAACTGCTTGTAATCTTAAAATAGAGACACATATAGTTAAAGAGAGAAAAATCAATAAAAGATTCTGTTGTCATATCTTTTCCTTTGGGCAAATATGACTCTATTTACCAGATAGAAAATCTCATTATTTGTCGCAAAGCATAATTTTCCTCAGTGTCTTATTTCAGCTCTCGTGCCCTTTAGGTAGTATTAGTTCTTTTGAACTCACTGGTATGTGGCATGGGTATAGGAAAGTAGAATAATAATTTCCATACACATACCTTTATAACCCAAATAATCATTTTTTTCCTCACTCTAGTTTTCCCAGGAAAAATGACTTGAGTTTCCATATTTACATTTGTATGAATTTTGAAGTAACATCATAAATTTTAATCATGATGCTACTTTCATCAAAGCTTAAAATGGATACATGCTGATTTGAAAATAGCTCTTCTTTAATGACAAAAATATTTCTCATTCTTTTTATAACTTCATAGTACTCTATTTTGTAGATATACCATCGTTTGAGTCTTTTATGATTTCAAATTATGCTGTAAAGAATAATTTTATAAAATGTGCCTTTTTATATTTTTGCCAGTACATCTGACAGATGGAAATTTAGAAATTAGATTATTGGGCAAAGAGTAAATATATATGTAATTTCCTATATATTGGCAAATCCCCTCCCCAAGTGATCTTACCATATTACACCCGCCCCCCAAGTTTATTTTCTCATAGCCCTATCAATAGCTGTCATGGTATTACAGTTTTTATGTTCAAAAAACCATTATTTTACTTCATTGTGGCCAAAGCACAAGAGTAGTGGTACTTGCAATTTAGGTGTGCCAAATAAAAGCCATAAAGTGTATGCATGTGTATATATACATACATTAGTATATGTACTGTTTGTTACTATCCATAGTTTCCAGCATCCACTGGAGATGTTGGTATGTATCCCCCATGAATAAGAGGGGGCTACTATAATCTAAACACAGAAATATTCAAATTCATATCCCAAGGATATTTATTATCAGAAACAGAGTCAAACATATATCTGTATGTCAATATTCTCATGTTTAATTCATCATTTTTAAGCTTTATTTATTTTTCATAATTGTCTCTGAATAGCACATCATTATATAGAGCAGTGAGAGTTCTTTTTCTTCATCTCCCACTTTTACAGGGGATCCCTTTGGGATTGCTGGGATATATGTGCAGGCACTGTGCTAGATACTAAACAAATGAAAATGAATGCATCAGATATGGTCACTGCTTTCAGTAAGAAATGTACAATCAAAGTCTATTTCAGAAGAAGTGTAAGAAATGTTCAGGTATGCATTACAGTTTTTGGATGAAGCCCTAAGAAGCTGGGAGAAATTTTATATCAAAGCATGGACTTCATTTTACTCTCTCAACTTCAATTCCTACTCCAGAAGGGCTAGGATTTCAAAACTTTTAGTCAGACTTTCTTCTCCTTGTCTTAACCAGGAGTAAATAGCCTCCCCAACCAACAACACCCCAACTGAGTGCTTACGGTTTTCATTAATATTCTTCACTTGGATTAGGTAATGATTAATGGGTTTTCCTCCCCATGCCTGAAAACTTCTCTTGAGTCCAGAGGTCTGAAACACCCCCAAGGACCAGCTCAATGAGAGGAGACGTAAAAGAAAATTGTCATGAAGGAAATGAAATCACTAACTCAGAGAGCTCTCTTTACTGCCATGTTCATCGAATCATCATTCACAATAGCCATGGCATGGAAACAATGTAAGTCTCCATTTGCAGATGAATAAATAAAGAAACTGTGAGATACACACACATATACACAGACACACACAGAGGAATATTTATCAGCCTCTAAAAAAGAAATCCTTCCATTTCTTACAACATGGTCCTTGAAAGCTGAAAAAGGCAAATTCTGTATAGTCTCATTTATATGTGGAATCTGAAAAAAAAAAAAACCGAACATTAACTTTTAGAAACAGAGTAGAGTAATGGTTGCCAGAGTCTGGGTAGGGTGAAGGAAATGGGGATATGTTGGCCAAAATGTACAAACTCAGTTATATAATAAATAAATTCTGGGATCTAATGTATAGCATGGTGACTATAGTTAACAAAGTGTACCTCTTAATTGTTTCCAAGACTGTTGGGAAACTTCCCATCTGGTTTCAGGAACTGTAGCCTCACCAGCAGGCGAGAGGGCCCCAAGGCTGGAGCTAAGCAAGGAGGCCTTGGGAAAATAGGCCACTGAGGAGACTAAACCTGTCCCTCTGGCAGGGGCGCAGCTCCTGCCTCCCTCACATCACCCTGCTTGGCCCTGGAAGATGGCTAGTTAGTCAATGATGGGTAAGACCCCTTGATGGCAGGGGCAACCTAAGACAGGCACAGACACCAGCAGCCATAAAGGGAAGGACTTGGGGGACATGGAGAAAGGACAAAACACCCTCACCCCATGGCTTTGATATGGCCAGAGTCCTCATTCTATCTGAAAGAAGTCTCCTTATCTCTTGGCGGCTCTGCTCTCCCAGCATGGCTCAGGCTTCAAACAATACTGGAGGTAGCCCTAAACTGGATCGGGTGATTCCCAGGGGGAAATCAGTCCTAGAAATAAATTCCTTGAAGCATGCTTTGTTTTTCCCTCAAAAGCTGTGATGGTCGGCTCATGCTGGGAATGAAATTTACATTATTCACAGACCCTGAACCAAAACCACTTGGCCTCTTATGTTTACTCCTCTCCTCTCGGACCCATGTAAATCAGTGTGTTCCTGCCATTTGTTTTCTTCAAAAAATCATCTATTCTCTGTAAACATTAACATACTGCTGTAATGAGATCACCTGTACATTCGCACTACCTAGACCCCATTGATAACTCTTTCAATAAAAGCCATTGGACACAGGGGCTCAGGAGCATTCTCCACTAGAGGAAATCATCACCCTCTTCTCCTGGCAGACAGAGAAATGTCTGAGATGACTTATTTATATTTCCCCATCCGTGATGACCCAGAGCATATTCTGCGGGACAGAATCTGCCCGCCACCTCACAAGACCAAAAAGGGAATTATGTGAGATGATGGAGGTTTTAGCCAACCCTATTGTGGTAAACATTTTTCATATATACATGTATCCAATCATTACTTTGTATACCTTAAATGTACACAATGTTATAAGTCAACTGTATCTTAATAAAACTTGAAAAAATAAAAATTAAGTTAAAAAAGGAACATTGGCATGCTCCTCTAATCTTTTTCAGGTGCAAACCTTAGAGGACAGACTACTGAGTTTTATCCCTTTGCTCTATAGCCTCAAAAGTGCAGGAAAATTGGAGCTGCAGTAGACCTTCCTCCGATTATGTGGTTGCAGAATCTCCATGAATTCTTGCACTCCTGGGAACTCCTCAAAACTCACACCTGTCAGAAGGTGAACCTGTGACTTCACCTCAGAAAGAAGCAGCACTGGGGGAGTCACTTTCTTACAGTAAACACCAGAGACCAAAATAGTCCTGAGACTCAGCCTAGAATCCTCTAGAGTGACTGATATAGGCCCATCCCAGAGCTACTCTGCACAGCTCAGATAATCTTTACAAGGACTGCCCCATCCACAGCTCAGGATTGACCTGGGATATCTGACACAGGCTGGGGGCAAGGCTTCTTTGAGAATGTGACAAGGCACAACCTCATGGTTCGAGAGCAATGTGGACCATGACAAGCACAACCAAGAGTTTCTTTAGAACAACTGGCATAGACACAGCCCAGGGCTTTTCTGACATGACTTGCACAGATGCAGCCACCATTTAGGAACTCCCTTGGAGTCCATCATTCGGACGTAGTCTAAGGCTGATCCACAGTGATTGACACAAGCAAGGGCTTCTCTGGCATGTAATATAGACAAATCTCATTGACTGGAGGTAAGTAAAAGGTGAGAGGATAGGGCACAGGCTTGAAATCTCTTGTAAAGAAGGTAATAGCACCACCAACAACAAAAAAAATGTGTCTTCTTTAACACATTTCTGAGAAACAAGAAAGGAGATCAGAGGTCTCAAATAAAGAACATAGTGTTTTATAAGCCTTGACAAATTAGGGAACCTGGGAAAGACTAAAAAACAATGAGAATATAGGTATTGTGCTTTGGAGTGTTCAACGTTTTTGCACAAATATTATCTCATTTTATACCCAGAACCATTCCATCAGGTGGGTAGTGCATTTCATTATTTTATTGAGAAACCCATAACTCAGAAAACATCATGTCAGTAGCTCTGTGTCTCACAGCTAAAAAATAATAATAACCAGAATTGTAACTCTGAATTTATGGCTCCAGAGTCCTTGCCATTATAACTGTGTGCTCTCAAACTATCATTTATGAAGTAGTTTCTCTTCTTCATTATGTTCTCTTAAGTGTGTTGTCTAGTTCTTCCCTGTTGAAACAAAATGTTGAATCTCCAAGGTGTTATCCCTAAAAGGAGACACTCTGGATAGAGATGTAGCTAGCTGGGCAACCTCAACTGTTTCCCCATAACTTCCCCCTTCAGGGTTCTCTCTGATGGCTGCAATCACAACCACACTTATCCATGGCTCTGTGCTTGCAGAACCAGCAGTGAAGCAGTACCTGAATTATATACTGCACAGATAACATTCTTAAAACCATAACTGCACTTGTGTAGTTACAGGGAGTCAGTACAAATTCTTTCCAGAAACATCTTCTCCTACCATCCCTCCTGTACTTAGTAGGAGAAAACAAACAGAAAAAGAAAAAAAAAAGAAAAGAAAGGTGAAAAATATGAAAGAAAAAAGAGGGAAAGCTAGATCAAAAGAAGGAAATATAAAGGGAAGGGTTAAAGAAGGAGCAAAGCAAATGAAGGAAAATAATTGGAATTACAATCATTTGCAGCTGCAAAGTCACAACTTGTGCTTTTATATTGTGTTTTTGTGCAGCCCTAGGATCCCAAGAAGATGAATGAAGGGCCATTTCAGGAGACAGGAGAAAAGAAAAAGCCAGGTAAGTGGGGCTCTGAGCCCCTGACCTTCTTTATCTTCATTGGATTTAAGTATTGAAATTCCCTGTAAGATTTGGTTTGAAAAAAAGGGGGCAGGTGGCACCTCTGCTTTAAAAGTCAAAAAACTACTGTGAGTCATATGCAAGTTCCCTCAATTTCATCAACTGGACTTTTGTCACATGATATCTACTGTCTAAGTAGTGTCATCTGGTTGTGTGTCATTAGAAAATTCTCAAACTGCTGTGCCGCAAATTTCCTTCAGTTCCAGAAGTCACGCATCTTGACCACACTTCGTTAGATCTATCTGCCCAACACCACTTGGCTATAAGGTTTGATTTAGAGTTTAACTATAGAAATTATAGTAATATCAGTAATAATAATAATGACAATATTAACTCAAATTTATACAGTTTTAATAATTCATTTATTTCCATAATGCTCATAAGACAATAATTTAAAACATTGTTAAAAGGATTCTTTTACAAGCACTTAAAAATAACACTGGTTACTTTAATCCATTGTGGATTCATGACAAAGAACTTCATTAACTTTTTAAGATATTAGTATGTTAGGCCAATTTATTGTCATTAATATAAATGTTAATTAGTAATTCAACAAACATCTATTGTTACTATATAGGTACCAGGCAACGTAGTGTGGATACAGTGAGGGATACCATTTAGTTTATGTCTTCAGGAAGCGCAGTGTTCAGGAGAGGATTCATGTAAAAATAATCATGATTGTTATAGCATTGTTATAATAAGGATATTTTAAGATGCCACAAGGAATACAAGGGAGAGAGTAGTTAATTATACCCAGTTGGAAGATGAAGTGGTCAGAAGTGATTTCCAAAAAGGTTGACATTAGATCTTGGATTCAAGAGTGAGTGTTTATATGGTTTACCTGTATTTTATTAAAGCATATGATGAGCTCTTTCATGAAATCTTTGTTACTACATTAAAGATACATGTTCCAGATAACAGTACATAAGCTGTGCATATTTATACCCAAGCCATGTCTGAAATGCTTTAAAGTTACTGATAAAAATAATAATAAATGACTTTGCAATTTGCCCAAAAATTAAAGATTAAAAAATTAGAGTCAACTCATTTTGAGATATGGCTTAAGTGATGTGCCTCAGGGTCTTATCTCTGTCCGAGGTTATATTTTGATTACATATATGAGGGGAGCAGACATCTGTGGCACACTGAGTGATGCAAAGGTTTTTTAATGAAACTTTCAAAATATCTTCTCAGTGAAGGACAAAACATTTAAAGAAAATAAATATACTTTGGAAGATGAAACCTGATGTACCACCTACAAAACACACATATACATACACACATAGTGAAAGCTCTTGACTGCAGACTCAACTAGTGATCCAATAATGTCATCAACCTTATGTAAAAATAATTAAAATTTAGGCTACATTAATTATGAAGTCTTTGGTATTCAGCACTCCATTCGATGCAGAAGGTAGAATGACAGATGAATAGATTTGTCCTCATACCATTAACAATTCAATGACATAAATAGATGCACACATACAGTGTTATAAAAGTTCTCTAATACAGGTTGACACAAAGTGTTATGAGAGAATTAAAAAATAATTCCTTGGTTTGGCTGAGGGAAGACAGGAAAACTTCACAGAGAAAATTATGTTTCAGCTGGTAATTGCAAGATGAATGGGAAGTTATACATTTTTGCAGGAAGAGGCTTCCAAGAATAGAGAGCCACATGCACAAGGCAAGGGGAGGGGGTCGGTGAGTGAACATGATATGTGCACAGAACCGAAAATATTTTCATGTAACCAGAGCATCAGCAGTGTAGGGGATTCAAAACTGGAAAAACAAGCAGATATCAGAGAAAAAGTCCTTATTAAAGAGTTTGTCCTTATCCCAGGCACAGCAGGGAGTGACTGAAAGATGTTAAGCAGGTAAGTAACTTAACCAGAGTCGTTCTTGGGTCACACACAAGTCAAAGATGGTTTGAAAAGAACAAACTGGAATCAGGTTCCTGCAGTATACCAAGCCAGAGAAAATAAGACCCCGAATTTAAAATCTGTGTGGTAGGGATGGAGAAAGGGACACTGAATCAGTGTTCAGAAGGAAAAATAAACAAGTTTGCAGGATGAATTAAATGATTTTTATCCCACTTCCTGGGCTATACAATGAGTATTTTCATTTTCTGAAACGGAATAGATAAAAGGAGAAGACTTGGAGTGGAGGAAGATAATGAGTGTAATTTATAACTCATTACTGTTTAAATCTGTGTATATTAATGAGGCTGCATTGTTGATGCATGTAGTCTTCTGTGTCTAAATTCCTTATGCACGGAACTCACCGTGCCTACATTCTGTTTATACAGTGGTTTCCCCCACATTTTCTTCATTATTTATCCACTCATTCAATAATGATTTAGTGGGCATCTACCTTGCTAAGAATTGGAATAAAAAGTTGAATAGCATAATTTCTTCTCCCAAGGAATATACCATCTTGAATATGAGATGTAGACATAAGTTAATGATTATTCTAAAATAGACTATGAAAGTGGTATTTCAGGTCTCCAGTCTTAATATCTTGAAACTTCCTGTTCTTCTATAGAAATTGTCTTACTCTTTGTTCTACTACTGTCACCCAATCTCAACCACTCCAGCTTGACCTCACCTGGAGCTCAGACTTGGTCTGGTTTTCAGAGAGTAGGTAGAAGTGCTGCCATATGGTTAAATCCGTGACTGGGAGTGAGGTGGTCCAGGATGCATGTCCCGACACCACCACTTGCTGACTGCCTAACCTTAGAAAAATTCCTTAATTTCTCTATTCATCATGTTCCTTGGCTGTAAAGTGGGATTAATAAAAATTTCTGTTATCATTAGGTTGTTGTGAGACAAACAACATGACATGTGTAAAACATTTGGATTAGTGCCTGGCACTTATTTGGTGCTCAATAAATGTTCATATTTACTGTGAAAATGAAAAAGTATCAAAAAAAGTTTTCATAGAAGAAGTGATACCTGGCTTGAAGTTTTTAAAATGCATAGGATTCAACAACAACAAAAAATTTTAAATAGCACTTTCTCATTGTTTTTGCTCTTTACCACTCTCCTCTCTTCCTCACCCTGACTTCACATCTTCCACCTGCTCAGGGCTTTACTTAAGTATCATCTTTTTAACCAAACCTTCTGTGACACTCCCCATACCCCAAAATGCCTGTCTCCTTCTCCCCTGCCTTATTCTTCTCCATTATTCTTGTTCCTATCTAACACACTATACACTCTACTTACATAATTTGTTTGTAATCTGTTTTCCCTACTAGAAAGTGAGTTCTGTGAGGGCAAAGATTTCTGTTTGTTTTACTTACTCATGCATTATCTTCAGCATAAATAACAGTGTCTAGAAGAAAACCAATATCTATTGAATAAATTATTCTTTTATCAGATGAAAAGCAAGGGCTATAGTGAGTTTGGGCAATGGGTTAGATAAGAAGTGAATTTTGAAAGGTAGATCTAACATTATACCATAATAGTTATAATGGTTAGCATTTATTACATATGTGTTATATACCAGTTTCCATGCTAAGTGCTTTAGATTTATTCCTTTATTTAATGTATAGTTATCAGAAAGAATTTCAGTCTCAATTTTGAAGCTTAGTTATTGATACAATATTGAAAACTTGTTTCTTTTTCACAGGATTTAACATTATCAGTCACACCGGCACTTTACTAACATGTAACAATTGAGCTTCATATTTCTACAGAGTAAAGGCACAAATCAACCAACAGAAAATGATGGAAGGGTTTATATATAACATACCTAGATTCTCTCTATGGTCTGATGCTATCTTGAGTCTGTGTTTCCTTTGTCTGATCACATATGTATATGGCCTCATGGAGAATATTTAGCCCAGGGATCAAAATAAGACACAGTTTCTATGTTGTGTGTCTTTTTGTCTAAACTGCAATTGTCTGAGTTTACAATGAAGATTCTTCCAATATGCTGAGATCTTCCTGAGTGTGGGCTGCTAGAGACTGGGACACATTCAGGACTCCCCCTCAGCCATCATTGGTAACTGTTGGCTCACATCCTTTGCTTTTCTCCTTCCCACTCTTTTATTTTGTAGAAAACATATCCTGACTCATGTCAATACCTTTCATTGTGCCTCAAGATCCCTCTCTTCAGAAATGTTTGGCCTGGCCTGACTTCCTTTTAGCACCAGTGACAGGCGCTAAAGCAAAAAGAAAAGTCAGGAGATATATAGATATACACATATATGGTATGCCTCAGTTCGGTCTGAAAATAAGGTTAGTGTTCTTCAAAAAAAAATTGTGAATCCCATAGTCAGACTTGTTTTTTACATTTTTGAAAATACAGCTAGTTGATCTTCAACAAATATAACAAGAGGTAGAAAATGAAGCCCCAAGAGATTCCTTTTCCAAGAGTATATGATAGAGATCTATATCACATATGGAGAATTCTTCCCGGAGTATGAATGCCCAGCAAAATCCTGGGCAGAAGAATGATGTGGGGAAACTGGACCACTGTCAGTGAATTTGTTCTTGTGAGCTTCTCAGCCTTGTCTTCTGAGCTACAAGCTCTACTATTTCTCCTTTTTCTGACCATTTACACTGTTACCCTAATGGGCAACGTCCTTATCATCCTGGTCACTACAGCTGACTCCGCCCTACAAAGTCCTATGTACTTCTTCCTCAGGAACTTGTCCTTCCTGGAGATAGGTTTCAACTTGGTCATTGTGCCCAAGATGCTGGGGACCCTGATCACCCAAGACACAACCATCTCCTTCCTTGGTTGTGCCACTCAGATGTATTTCTTCTTCTTCTTTGGGGCTGCTGAGTGCTGCCTCCTGGCCACAATGGCATATGACCGCTATGTGGCCATCTGTGACCCTTTGCGCTACCCAGTCATCATGGGCCGCAGGGCCTGTGCCCAGCTGGCAGCTGCATCCTGGTTCTCAGGGTTTCCAGTGGCCACTGTGCAAACCACATGGATTTTCAGCTTCCCTTTTTGTGGCCCCAACAGGGTGAACCACTTCTTCTGTGACAGTCCCCCTGTCATTGCACTGGTCTGTGCTGACACCACTCTGTTTGAACTGGAGGCTCTGACAGCCACTGTCCTCTTCATCCTCTTCCCTTTCTTGCTGATCCTGGGGTCCTATGTTCGCATCCTCTCCACTATCTTCAGGATGCCCTCAGCTGAGGGGAAACGCAAGGCCTTCTCTACCTGTTCCTCCCACCTCCTGGTCGTTTCCCTTTTCTATAGCACTGCCATCCTCACATACTTCCGACCCCGGTCCAGCACCTCTCCTGAGAACAAGAAGCTGCTGTCGCTCTCCTACACAGTGGTGACTCCCATGTTGAACCCCATCATTTACAGCTTAAGGAACAGTGAAGTGAAGGCTGCACTGAGAAGGGTCATCCGGAGGACTCTGGGCCCAAAGAAACTATGACTGACTTAGATGGAAACTGAAAAGGTAGAATGCAAGGACACAGGAAAGAAAAACACATTCCTCAAATGCTTTTTTGGACTCTTCTCTTTCCAGGAGCCACAGTATACTCACTGGGATTTTGGACTTTCCACTGGGACCCACGTCTGAAAAGAACATGAGTGATAAAAGAAAGAACTGCAGGCAGTAGGCCCAGGGTCCTAGAAGACTGTGGTACCAATGTCTCTGAAGATGCCACTAGTTTACACAAGTTAGGTGTCCATGTGAAGGTCAACAACTTCACTAAAATTTGCTGGGTTTTTGTTTTAACTTTTTTTTTTAACTTCATCCATATCAATTTATAATTTTCTGCTTTCCTTTCTTCTCTTTGTCCAAAAACTCTACATGCAACTTTTAAGGATTTTGTGTTTACAAGGTAAAGTAGTGATAATAAATAGTAGTTTTGTTTCATTCTTTCATTTTTTTTTTTTACAACAAATTTTTATTCAGTACTCAGTGTGTGTTAGACTCTGTTTAGGCCAAGAAGACACATAGGTGAATAAAACAGACAAATTTCTTACCTCATGGAAATTATAGTGAGAAAGAGAAAATAAAAAGATACTTAAAAACTCCACTGGCAATTGAGTTCTTCCTCTGCTACTATATGTTCTGTGCCTTGTCTGGAGAAAAACAATTCCACACTGCTGACAGCTGCCTCAAACTCAAATCATCCACCTTGGATATGAGAGTTGCTCAACAGAATGGGTTAAAGGAAATTGCAGGCAAGTGTAAGTGGACAACTTATAGGAAATTGCTGTGAATAACCCATCGTTTCTTTGTTTACTAAATTTTTTAGAAAATCTATTGTGATTGAATTAAGTCAACTCCCCATTTTAAGCTTGGGTATCACTCAACCAATGTAGCAGCCACTTTATGATTTTGTCCAGTGAACATTGCCCAACTCTGGACTCTTGGCAAAGAACAGACTTGCAACATGGACACTGCAGCTTTGTGTAAATTATTCACAGGAATGTAGTAATAATTAACAAAGTGAAATAGCATTTACTGCATAGGTATGTCCCCTCCACAAACCCTATAAACAACTCTAACTCTGTGTGCCATGGAGGAACCAGGGCAAGTTCAGCCTCCCACACAAGGTATCCTTCAGCTCATGAGTATCGGGCTTCATGAGGGCAGCACATACTGCACATCACCATTGGAATTTGAGATGAAAAGGTAGAGCGCAGGGTTTTATTTGCATGATGGCAATAACACAGCTAAGCGGATTGGCACAATTCATAAATTTATCATCTCTAATTTTAGCCAAGCTTTAATTACAGCCTCACATTCATTTTACTTGACCTTAGTATGGTAGGCAGAATAATGGGCCCACAGAGATGTCCACGTCCTAGTCCTCTGTACATATGTTACCTTATATGGTAAAAAGGACTTTGTTGATGTGATTAAATTAAGGACCTTCACATGGGGAGATTAGCCTGGATTTTTTTTTAAATACATTAACAGAAAATCAGAAGGTGAGTTGAGAATGACCTTGAAATATTTATTCCCACGGCTTCCTCACCTCCATATACCCCAGTCCACAGCTCCTGCCTGGTGGCCTTCTATACAGAGCTGTCCTTAGAAAGTTCTGGTCACCTCCTTTTGCTCCTTTGGGCCCAGGATTGGTAATAGCTTCTTACTCTTGTGGGCCTGGGATATCTCTATTTCTTGCAGTCTTCCAAAACCCCGTTCTTACCTTTATAAAGGTGTGTCCTAATGGACATAGCACTCATGTCTCTATTAAGAGTGTGAAAAGTACAGCAAAGCTCATAAATTCTACTTCATTGTACCCATACTCTTCACTATCCACTTCAAACATACACAAGGGTGAACAAAAGTAGGTTTACAAATAATACAAATAAATAACACAAAAATTAATAAATAAATAATAATAAAAATAAACTCTGTGTTTCTTGTCCTCACAACCATAAACCTACCTTTGCCCACCCTGTACGGAGGTACATGTGCCTGCACACGTGCATATAGCACCTAGCGCATAATAAATGATTAAGTAATGTTTGTTAATTTATTATTTGATGATACAAAGAAATATCAAAAGGTAAAGGAAATGAATTGGAGCAGTTTCCAGAATAGATAGACATTAACATATAGCATGATTTAATAAGTAGATGTCACTTGTTCCAGCATTCATAAAATGTGAATATTTCTCAGGGGATTTTCTAACTCTCAGGTGCTAAAAGACCAACCAGAAGGAAGGCCCTCCTTCCTATTGCTCCATGGACTATTGTCCTAAGGATGGAGGGTTGGGTCCATGGATAAGGCCCAAGGATGAGACTCATACCACATTCTCCTCTTGCTGAGGAAACTATTCAGCAAGTCTTAGAAGTAGGGAGCCAGGCCAGTCGCTGTCAGTGGCAAATTCCAAGCCTGCATGGAAAATTCCTTGCAGCCACTTTCCTCAGAGCTCCCTTCACATCCTTGTTCCTCAGGCTGTAGATGAGGGGATTAAGCATGGGGGTCACCATTGTGTAGAACACAGACACCAGCTTTTCCTGTTCCTTGGAGGACTTTGGTGTCATGTAGGTGACAATTGCTGACCCATAAAAAAGAATGACCACCATGAGGTGGGAGCCACAGGTAGAGAATGCTTTGAGTCGCCCCACAGCTGACTTCATCCTGACCACAGTCACTATGATGTGGCCATAGGATACAAGGATTAGGGAAACAGGTATGAGGAGAATCACAACCCCCATGAGGAAAATGGCCATCTCTGAAGGCCGGGTGTCTGTGGATGCCAAGATCAACAGTGCAGGTGCCTCACAAAAGAAATGCGCAATACTATTGCTGCCTCTGTAGGGTAGCCTTAGTGTGAAGGTGGTGTCCACCACAGACACCATAATGCCGCTGGTCCATGATCCCACAGCCAGCTGGACACACACCCTCCAAGTCATGATGCTGGGGTAATGCAAAGGATTACAGATGGCCACATACCGATCATAAGACATCACTGCCAAAAGGGCACACTGTGTACACCCAAAAATGAGGAAGAGTATCAGCTGAGCTGCACAACGTGTGAATGAAATGATTTTCTTTCTGGACAGCAGGTGGACTAGGGCCTGAGGAACAATATTGGTAGAGAAACAGAGGTCAGCCAGAGATAAATTGCAGAGAAAGAAATACATGGGTGTGTGAAGCAGGGAGTCAACCTGAACAAGGGATATGAGAAGCAGATTTCCAACCACAGTGACGAGGTATACACCCAGGAATAAGATGAATAGTAGCTTTTGGGTGTGTGGGTTGTCAGAGAGCCCCAGAAGGAAGAATTCTGTCACCTGGGTCTGATTTGTCTGTCTCATGGTTTGTCTCCTTTTTCAGTACAAAATCAATACATGCTAAGCATAGGTGTGTATAACCTATGAAATTATATAATTCAAAGCTGGAGGGCTTAGGAATTGCCTCCAATCACTACAACCATTTCAAGAATCTTCTTTATAAGGCTTTTAGAAGACGATCATGCTGCTTTAGTTGAAACATTTTCAATCTTGCAAAAACATAGCACTTTATAAGATGGTACATTCATTTTTAATGTCATCTGGCAAGTGTAGAGTAGATCAAAAAGTCATCTTTATTTGTAATATTGCATATCTAATAATAAAAAGACAGATTGAATTCATGTATGAAGTCATACTATTTAATTTCACTTCATTATTAACTAAAACCTTGAGTCTTATGCTAGCTACTCTTGCCACACCTCCCCCATCTCATGTTGGTGCAGATATTTTTAATTCTTTGGACATCCAAGTCTCTCTGCTGTCTACTTCTTTTATATATATATATATATAATATATATATATATATATATATAATTTATTTACTTTTAGAGAGAAGAAGGGAAGAAGAGAAACATCAGATTCTCACATGCCACAACTGAGGCCTGGATCACAGCCCAGGCATGTGCCCTGGCTGGGAATCAAGCCTGCAACCCTTCAGTTCTGAGGCCGGCACACAATCCACAGAGCCACATCAGCCAGAGCTGCTGTCTACTTCTTGGAAGGGTAGTCACAAAGGTATAAGAAATCAAATGAAACTGACTTTTGTCTTAGAGAAAATGGCCTGTTTTGAAGGATCTGGGAAACCAAGAGGTAACTCAGGATGGTGTGCCAAAACCTCTTTGGAAATCCTATTCTCCCCTTCACTGGAGTTCCCAAATATCAATCTTAACTGCCAGTGAACTCCCCAAATAATAGACACCCCATCATGACATAATTTCTATTTTAGCCCACCAGCATGGCTAGGTTTCTGTACTCAGACTAAACAGCACTGATCTGTCATCTCCAGCCCATCATCTCTTCCTTGTGTTATCTATCTACTCCTCACAGAAATTACAAACTCCTTTGAACATTTTGCCTCTATTTTCTTCGTTTTTGTATACTTTATTAAACATACCATAGAGCTTTGTTTAATAAATTATCATTAATTAAATAAAATAAATAAAAATTATTTGATCACATAGTTTAATAGAGTTGTTTTAAAAGCCTGCCTAGAGAGATGTGCAAGAATTTAGGAGCAATGATAAAATATCATAGAGCCACTCCAAAAAGAGAGAAAAGAAATTTAAAGTCTAAATGTTAAGGCCCTATGTGAGGCTTGGTCTATCAGCCCTTTATCTTTCTGATAAAGGTACTTCAAAATAATGTCTTAAATACATCAAATACATACATATACACATGTGCATACATAGAAAAAATGAAATGTATAGGATTATCAAGGAAACCAATTACATCAAAATACAGTTATAATAGTTTTAGAAAACAAATATGTGCTATAATAATACACATGCTTCTTTAAAACATTAAATTTTAAAATGCTGTGGCAAGTCTTATAACCACCTTAATTTCAAAATGATGAGCTTAAATGATATTTTGAGATGTCTTCAACAACTTCAAAGTGTTGTAAAAATACCTCTGATTTCTATTTGTGATAAAGTCATGGATATAATGTTAGTTTGGGTTGTTTACCTACATTAAAACAAGAAAAACATTTTGAATTTCAATTAAAGTAAAATAAAGAAGTAGCATTTACATCTAAATCAAAGAATTCCCTGAATTCTAAGAACTCCTGAGCTGAAGGAATTGCCAGTTTTCTCAAAAAGACACAATTACACTCTATATAACCTGAAAAAGGAGTCAAGTATTTAGATGGGTCCATGAGCCAAAATGATGAAAGATTTTAATTCATCATTGAAATTGTAAATGAATAAATAAAATGTTAATATGAAAAATCACATCTTTGCTTGATTATCATTCATGATGCTCTTATTTGACACCTTTCTAAGAAAAGATGAACTTCTAGGCATTTTTCCTGCCACATAACTAAGACACACTGTATTTTTACACTTTACTGGTTTTTGCTCAGCCTTCTAATATTTCCTCTATTTAAAGGTATGCCCACTACATAGAGTTTGTATCATTTTCATTGAACATTCATCACACTTTGAATACTCAATCACCTTATTTTTTGAGTAAATGTTATCAGCCAAGCACTTACTTTGATAATGGGGATACAGACAGAAGACCCAGCTTCAGAGGCCAAAGACTCTCAGATAGGAGGGACCAAACTATAATCATGTTTTATCCCCAGTGCCATTGTGTTTCCTGGAACATCATAGATTCACAGCAAATATTTGTTTATGAATGAATGTACTGGACCATACGATCTAACAATTACTTAAATCAAACTAATATAGAATTGCTTCTAATGGGGAATATAATCTATCGTTAAATAGCTGATATAAAAATAAAATTTGAGAACACAAGCTATTTTAAGATAGGTACTTTTAGAATTACCATCCTCTAGTGGAAGGTACTCCCTGATTAGGTCTTAAAGTCTCCAGATTATAGTTCAGCTCAGGTACTTTAGACTTACTTCTTCTGCCACAGTTCATATCCTTCCCAGAAGTATTAATCATGTGTCTAGATCTCAGGGAAAATGAAATGGTAAGCAAACAAGGTTTCTTGGTTTTGATGAAAAGATAGAGAGGATAAAACTAAACACTTGTCACAAAGTTCTAAGCGATGTTTACATCAGTGGTTAACTTAATGAAAGGGCAGCTACAGGTTATTGCTGATTCCTATGCCTTCTTTTCCATTCCCCACCCCCACCCCACCTCTAACACACATAGACATAGACACAATGAGTACACACATTCACAAACATCTAGTACAGCCTGGACACATAAATGTACTTACAGCATGATGTACTTACCTCCATCATAGCTCTTAACAAATTATATTGAAGATATTTTCTTTCTCTGTTACTATAAGACACTCAAGAACAGCGACCATATCTGACTCATCTTTATTCACAGCAAATAAGATAAATCCTAGAACAGAATAAGTATCCAACACATGTTTTTGAGCTGACTTGACTTGAGCCAAAGTAACAGGAGCCAGGTGAATGAGTCAAAAATGAGTGTGACTTGTGAGTTGTCAGATGGTAGGAATGCTCACTCACCCTAGGAGTACAATATTAGAAGCCTACATCTCTGACCTCTCTCAATTTCTTTTTTGAAGCATGTTACTCTCCCATGCAGATGTGGAAGAGAAAAATGTTCCTCCAGGCCACCTCAGAGTCAGGAAGCTTCTGTAAGAAAATCATGTCTTCTTTCAATCTTTCATGTTATTCTGACTTTTCTCCAGATGAAACATCACCTTGTAAGTTTATTTCTCTAATAATGACATATATTACTAGATGTAGGATAGGATGATAGGGTCACAAAACTACACATTGTCTAATACATGTTTTTTTTAGGAAGAGGATACTGAGGAAACCCATAGGAACCAAGAGAAAAATATTAAATTTCTCTTCTGATTCCAAGATCTTTTGTCCTCAAAATCACCTATTCCCTACCATCCATACCCATTTACAATCTTCCCAGCCCCATGCAAAGGCATAAAAGAATTCACACCCAGAGGATCAATTATGACTCCATGGAAATTCTGCTGTTGCCTCCCTCAGGTGAGGACCAGGATTCTTCTTCACAGGGAATTCATCATTGTAATTGTGGTTTGATAAGGCAGATCCACCATGGGGAAAATGTTGGCTAAATATATTACAGAAGATTTTGCCCTAAGAATTATATTGTTTTGACAAAATTAGTTGAATTTAAAAAATCAAATCTGTGAAGGGATTGAAACCAATTCACACTCAGTACGTGCCAGGATATCCCCTTTGTTCCACTTGTGCCTTCTCTTTCCCTCCTTCTAATAATCTTATCAACATTTTCTCATCTAATGGACAAAGAAAGATAAAGTTAGCATGCCCAAACCAATAAAGACATCTCACTGTTGGGGGGAAACTGCTGCAGGTGTATTGCTACAGAATGGGCAGAGCAGAGACTGGGAGAGTCTTGTCATAAAGTCAAAGGGCTCAGTAAAATCAAGGTCAAGGCAGGAAGGGGAATCCCCACATCTCCCATGTTCAAGGTCTTATCATTGATTTCAGGACACACTCTGCAACAATACTTCCATTTAAATGAGATGAAGAAAGGGATGCGTGAGCAGTCTCTGGAGCCGCTAAAGTGCTCAGGAGGGTTCTGAATCATTAGGGTGAATCCTGAGCTGCATTTCCTATCAAAAAGTTTCTTAATGGTTACCAGGAGGACAAAAAAATAACATGTTGTTAGCACTCACATCTCCATTTGTGGAAGAATGTAGATGTAAAAATCCCAACTAAACGAGAGCTAATTGAATCCAAAAGTTTATTTTAAAATAGTATGGCATAATTAAATATAATTTATCTCTGGGATGCTAATATGTTTCAACATCAGAAACCTAACCGAGAAATTCAACCTTAGTTATTACACTGAAAAATGAATCAGTTAATAATCTCAGTGATGTAGGGAAAATGTATTAAAAATATATTTATTATCATTTAATCTTTGTTAATCAGGAATAAGCCAAAGGATTTTTTTAAAACCTGGTTGGTTATGCATCAAAACCCAGCAACATAACTCATATTTAGTAGAAAAAGTTTTGGTGCAGTCTCTAAGATAAGGAACAAGACAAGAATATTGTTTTTACCATTACTGTGTAATATAGTAGTGAGAGTAATAAAGAATACCATGAAGAAAGAAAAAATATAAATAACATAAGATATAAAAAATGGAAAATAAAAAATAAAACTGTACTACTTGCTGATCACATATGATTACCAACTGAGAAAAAGAAACAAAAACAAAAAAATTCAATGAACAAACTATTAGAAGTCATAAAGAAAAATGTGCAAGTTTTCTGTATCAGAGCTCAACCTTAAAAAAGCTAAAACAAGTTTTCTACCTCTCTACCAGAAATAACCA